ACAGCTACTGGAGCCCACGCGCCTAGAGCCCAAGCTCCGCAACAAGAGAAGCCACTGCAATGAGAAACTCACACACCACAATGAAGAGTAGCCCCCGCTCGCCGCAACTAGAGAAAGCCTGCGCGCAGCAACGAAGACCCAACGCAGCCAAAAATAAATAAATTTAAAAATAAGCATAAAAGTAAAAAGTTTCCTTCAATTAAAAAAAAAAAGAATGCAGGTGAAACAGAAATATCAGGCAAAAATATCTCCAGCACTCTCATTAATAAATGCTATTAAGTATATTCTTCAGGCAGAAGGCAAGTGATCCCAAACGGAAGATCTAAAGATACAAGAAGAAATAAGAGGAAATAAGGATATCAGCGTATACCTAAACAAATATTTTAAAAGACATAATATCACCACTGGTAGTGTTAAATTTAAACTACCATAACACTGTCAGTGGTGAGAATAAGGGGGGAGGAAATGGATTATTCTAATGTTCTTAAGTAGCATGTTATAATTTCTAGGGTGACTCCAAAATTTCAGAGAACATGTAGCTTCCAAAGTACAAGGAACACCAAGTAAATTATACCTATTTTTACATCAACCTAAAAGAAAAACAGGTTTTGGACAAATAAAAAGTACACACACACAAAAATCAGATTTAAACCTAATCATAGTGATTACATAAATCAACTAAAGTCTCCCTTTTAAAACTGTCAGACTAGATTTAACAAAATCCAACTACATCCCACTTATAAGAAACACATCTACAATGTAAGAATACAAAAAGCTTCAAAGTGGAATACAATCCTTAACCAAAAGGTGGTATCACTGTTTTAAAGTTTAGAGATTAAAGTTTACGACAAAAGGTTCAATCCACTACCCAAACAATATGTTACAGAAGATCTCAATGGAAAGACAGTTCATAACATGACTGAAGGCAAATCTTAACCCAAGAACTTGAACACTAAGAAAATCTTCCATTGGAGAAAGAGGGGGAAACAAGTGATTCAATCAGACCGTCATTTGATTATTCTGTGGTCTTATAATAGCTAGATGTCCAGACATCAAATGACCTACCATTCCAGTATACCTGATTCTGTTCTCCTTACTTTCAATGAGAAGAAAGCTAATATTCATGGAGCTTACTCTGTAGAAAATTATTACATGCTTTCCTCTTATTTGCAGATTAGTAAGCAACTTGCTCAGCAACACACAAGTGAAAAAACTAGTAATTAAAATCTGACTTCCAGTACCCATGCCAATTCCACTATTCCAAAAGCCAAGGGGCCTCCCCTATCAGCCTACTGGTACATAGATTATATAGTAACCTATAGTTATACTCCTTTACAGAAAATGACTACTTCATGGTGCAACAGCCAATCATTAAAAACTACAAATGTTTTAGGAATTCCCTGGCGGTCCAGTGGTTGGTTACGACTCCGCACTTTTACTGCCCAGGGTGTGGGTTCGATCCCTGGTTGGGGAACTAAGATCCCACAAGCCATGCGGCACAGCCAAAAATACAAAAGTAAGAAAATAAGAATTAAAAAATAAAAATTTTTAAAGAATTAAAAAAAAAAAAAGAACTACAAATGTTTTAAAGCAAAAGAGTTCAAGGGAGCCAGTAACATCCCAAGGAAAAAATTCCCCTTTACCACAGACCTCATATCTCATTCCAAATTGCATTTTAAACAAATCTGTATTTTGGACATTGCTGTTCTATTAACAATTTCGGTGGTCCAGGGGCTCAGTACTTTACTTGATTCCAGCACAACACATCTCATTCTTTATGCTTTTTTCACTTCAGGGATATCAAAAGTCAACCTAGAACTGACTTTTGTATTACATTCCCAAGCCAAATGAACTCCTATCTTCTGTTCAAGGGATCAAGGTATCATCTGACCCAATAGCAGAGAAACATACTGATATTTCTTGAAAATTCACTCAGCATTAACAAACTAAAACAATTTATTCATCTATCAGACATATGTTGGAAGAAATCTTCAGGATTGTAAGTGCTTGAACTCTCCCTTGAAGCCCAGTGGAACCCAAGCAGGGTGCTTTTAAATTCCAAGCAGATGTATACAGTGTTAAGTTTAAGTCAAGGGAACTCCCTTTAAACCAATATAAAATCCTTATTATAAATCATCATTGCTCAGTTATGTAACCTTGGATAAGTTCTTTAACTGCTCTGTACCTCAGTTTCCTCATCAAAATGTTGATACCAGCTATCTCCAGGAGCATTAAATGTGTTAATATACACACAGAGTAAAACACTGCCTGAATAATCATGCAAGAATATTTTCTGCGTGTTGTGCTCTTCTTATGTACCCTCTTTACCTGAGAAAATAATTCAAATTAATAAACTCTTCAAAATTATAGCCTCCTTCCCCCCAAAAATCACAATGTACAAACTTCTGAGCAAGTAAAAATACATCAAACTATGTAGCAGTAAAAGGCAGAGTTGGTAACCGGAAGTGTAGAGGCCACTTTCCATGGCAAACCCAGTAACGTGATCTAGTGGGCTGCAGTCAGAGTACTAAGCAACTTACTTACAAGGATGAGTGAAAGCAACCTGTGCTCACCTTCTAACCCCTACTCTGCCCAACAGGGAGAGAACTTACTCAAATGAAATTAGTATGAAATGGGTCTTAATGTTACCGTTTTAACAAATTCCTTCATGTAAAGAAGGTTATAGATACTACACTATCTCCCACTTCCCCCACTTTCTTTTTCTTCAGGGCACTCATCACAACTCAACACTTTATATCTAGACAACCAATTTGCCTGTTTGGCTCATGAAATAAGGTGTATGTCCAAACAGGAGCTAAAATATTTACTCAAAGAATCAACTAAGAACACAAGTAATTACAGGTTTGATTAGACTTGAGGATATGAATAGATTGTTCGTTAGTTTTCTAAACTGATCAGGGTTCATCCCCTTTCATTAATATTTCAAATTTACAATCAAGCAGAAAATAAAGTAAGCAAAGCTGTATGTTGACATCTTCATACCTTCAAGTGAATCAGAGTCTACCTTTTTTAGCCCCTTTTCCTGCAAAAGGACGCTGTATGAATACATTTTGGGGAGTTTAGAATCAGTCATCTCGAGGCAATATGGGCAAGTTGAGTAAGTAATAAAAAAAATAGCACCTGGGTTAAATTAGTTCTGGTACAAGTGCTGGGTGTTTTTTTTTTTAATCTCTAGAGTACCAGGGTGTCACATTTAGTATTAGCTTAGTAATTTTCCTTGTCAATAGGTCCTATATCAAAAATAGGTACTTTGCAACATATACATTTTATGAAAGTTTTCAGAGTGGTATAAAAGGACCAGTCTTCTTAAAAAGTAAATGGCACATTTTAGATTTGTGCCGTTAATTTGAACTCAGAAAACTTCGAAAGAAGCGTGAGACTTTAGCCCCAGAAGATCACTGTAAACCTCATTTACCTCCCGTCAGCTTTAAATAAGTTTTTCTAAATATAAGGTTTTTCCCTTAGCCAAAGGTGTATTACCAAGTACGTATAGAAGTAGTATTAATTAAAGCCGACAAGAAAATAGGAACTAAATACCACTCTGCCAAGGTATTTTGATGCTACGTATTTTCAAAAATGGCAAATTTCGTTTTCCAGCTCAGCTCTCCTGAAATCAGGCAAGCAGTTTGAAGTTGTGAGCTTTTAAAGCGCAGTCCTTACAGTATAATCAGACAGTGAGAGAATAAAATTGGGGCTCCTTGAGGACATCATGTGCCCGGTTCTTCTTGTACTCGGGAAACCCAGCCCTCCCCGGAAGGACCTCATTACCCGTCTACCTGCCCTGCCTCTTTTTTTGAGGGCAAAGCGGGCGCACTGACAAGGCAGCAGACTACACACTTCGCTCAGTACGTTTACATTGACGCCGCATTCCACCCCGTAATACCTCCTCCACCATAACCCCACTCACCTTAAAAACAAAACAACTGGTTAACTATCTTAGATTGGGAACGTGAACAAAGGAACTAATTTGTAAGAAAGCAATAGAAGTCCTAGAAAAATTAAAGACATTGCAGGCCAAATCCTTTACTTCCACCTTAGAACTGTTCAGGCTTAGACTGATTAGGATCAGTTCTCCCCAAATAAAAAACCCTGGTCAAGATACCCATCCTAATTCTAATTTGTACTTGAGATAGACAAAAGAATCTCTTGTTAATAACAGCTAACGTAAGCGCTTTACACGTGTTAATTCTTTAAAGTCCTAGCAGTGGAGGCCCTGCTTCATCATTCAGCACCAAACGTTCACACTTTCCTCCGGTACCAATAAAAAGACTAAGACCAAAGAGAAGCAGGTTTGAGTTGGAAACCCAAGGGCTGGACTTATTGGCTCACTATTCATTTTCACGTCCCACCATCTCCACAACTTCCAGTAAGAAGGGACAACCAGACAGGGGTCTCCAATCAGGCCCCGCGGGCGGCCATGTGCTGAGGGAAGCCGCCGGGGGTTTCCCCTCCCAGACCCATCGCCGCCTACAGTGGGCGGGGAGCCCAGGAGCCTCGCTGCCTCCCCGCCCCCTCCCCGCCCAGGGGCCTAGTCCCCTCACAGCCCCTCCCTCCCATCGGAATTCGCAGCCTCCGCGGTTCTTTCCATCCCCCAGCGGCCTCCCTCCGAGTATTATTTTTGAGTGAGCGGGGGCGTCGAGGCGGCGGTGGGCTTCAGACCTGGGCCCGGGCCGCCCTCGCTCCCGTCCGCGCTGAGAAGCTGGTGGAGCTCAGAACCTCGGTGCAGACTAGCACGCGGGCCGCACCGACCCCCGCGCGTGTCCTGATCGGTTCCCCAGAGAAGCGCCGGCCGATCCCGCGGGCCCTCTCCGACTGCGGGGTCGAGACTCCGCAAACGGCTCGGGCTCTGGCCTCACAGGACGGCCCCGGAGGCCCGGGCGGCCAGCGGCCCACGCTCGCGGTTCCCCGTCTCTTCACCCCTTCCCTCCGCGCAGGCCGCCTCTACGTCCCCCCTTCCCCTTCGAGTTCCCGTCCGTTACCGGTGGCTAGCACGGGGAGCCAGGCGGCCGGAGCTGCGCAGGCAGTGACTCAGGGCGGCGGCGGGGGGGGGGGGAGGCAGGGGGGGCCGCAG